CAGAAGTGTTACAAAAGGTGAGTCCTAATGTCGAATTGGAATATTTCATTGAGATTGTTTTATGAGTGGTTTCTAATAAAAAAAAACTATTCTGATTTCCAATTGAAAGAACCAACACTTCGTCACAATGAATGGTCATGGTGCAGAGCCGCCTAATAAGTACGAATCCAATGGTGTCGAGTTTCAAAATGAATCGATTTTGTGCGGAATGGAAATAAAGCAGGAGCCGACTTTCAAACAAGAGCCAGAAAATGACGACAGTATTGTTGCGGTATCGCGATCATCACACACTGTCAACAGTGTGCTACTCGGTAATGCGATTGGTGAGGAGCAAGTAAATCGCACCGATGATTGCTTTGATTTCGAAGATTTGAATGAAGTAAAATCGGATATAAAGGTTGAAAAAGTTAAGAAAGAGGCCAATCAAGTTGCTTCTAAGAGCTCTGAAAAGGATCAAATTCAACAACAAAATCCGATGAAACGTCTATCGAATGGTGGTGCTGAAAAAGTTGGCAAGAATAACAAACGAAACGGTGCTCGTGACGAGAAGAAGCCACCTGAAGGCAAGGCAACTGGAAAACGGCACAAGTGTTCATTGTGCGAGTATGTCACTGATTGTGTCAGTCGTTTAAATCGGCACATGCTTAAGCACACTGGCGAACGACCATTTCCATGCACAATTTGTTTAAAACGATTCACACAAAAACCACATTTGCAATCACATATGAAAGCACACGTCGATGAATTTCTGTTCAGTTGTTCAACTTGTTTGCAAGGATTTCATCGAAGCGAGGAGAAGGTGGAACATGAATCTGGTTGTAAGGTGCGCCGCTACGAGTGTCATCTGTGCAAGAAATACTCTACTTTGCAAAAAACGAATTTCGAAGCACATCTGCGCGTGCATACCGGTGAGAGGCCTTTCGAATGCGACCATTGCTCGAAGAAATTTAAAAAGGCATTTAATTTGAAAGTCCACCTCAAATCTCACACCAATCCTCGTCCGTTGAAATACAAGTGTTCAACTTGCTTCAAGATCTTTGCGCAACAAATGGAAAAAGAAAATCACGAAGTCAATTGCAAACGACGCGGATACGAATGTGATCTATGCAAGACATACACAACTGATCATAAGGAACATTTGATGACACACATACGAATCCACACTGGCGAAAAGCCATTCCGATGTGAAACATGCTTGAAGTGCTTCTTGCAAAAGGCAAATCTCAACATGCACAGGAAAATGCACAAGTAGCTCTCTGCTGCAATTAAAATTTAACACATCGAATGAAAAAACTCGTGTTTAAACGAATTGCTTTGAATAAAAATAAACACAAGGATGTATTAAGCATAATATCTGGTCTTATTATTTAAAAATTCCCGATGCATTGTGTTGATTATGAAGCTGAAACCCAAATAAATATTTTCCTTTTTGTCAATCACATCTAATAGCTGTCACCTACAGATAATGCAGGCCTCCGCAAAAATAACATTTGAATCTGTTGCACATTTCTGTTGTA